GTATTTACAACAGTTCTTTACTACCCATAACACAAGCTCTGCTTAGATTACAAGTAAAGCATTGTGTGAATTGTCCTTAGACTTTATTTATTACGTGCTGTACCCGCAACTTTATCTGTATGGAATTTAACTTTATTTTTCTAAAATAAAACTAGCCTAAGTCACTCCTTATTATATCAGCTATCTGCCAATAAAAGTCCTGTCAAAATAGGTCTAGCAGTTTCAGAGATTAGCCGGAACAAACAGACAGATAAAAATTGTTAAAAATGTTATTTTGGTGTATGTACCGTATTTATATTCATATGCATGTAGTATAAAATGGGCATTTCAATCTTACAAACTGACACTCCAATTTTATTTATATGTATAGATTATTTTGTGAGTTCCATGAAAATGTTCATATATAAGTGACAGTCATCACTTTCCATCAGTTTGTTTGCCAATTTCCTAAAATACTTGCTTCTCTAAGTAAAACATGTAACGAAAGAAACAAATATGATAAATATAACATTTATTAAATTGATGATAATCACATTATGAACCTATTAGAGCTAACTCTTTATGCTGATAGAAATAGAAATAATCTTTATTCAAATAAACTCATTACAAGCATTTTTGAATAGTCATATTTTGATTCTACTATTCATTCGGAATGCAGATTCATCACAAGAAGAATGAGCAAGAAACTTGTGTGTTACTCTTTTTAATAGATGTTTTTTTATATAATAATACAGTATACCAAGTAAGAGACATGCGATAATCAACTTAGAAATTGCTACGTACTCATTATTAATTTAATCAGATAATATTGTCAGTGCTATAAGTTTTTCTATAAAACATTATTGTATGTGTGTAATAGACCAGTGGAGGATGATAAAATTAGCATAAGGTCAGGTCAAGTAACCCCTCTTGGCATAACTGTGGTTTATAGGAGGAACTGCATGGAGGCTATCCTGACATGGTACATTGCTAGCAACAGGGTTATTAGTCCACATTACTAACAATCCCCTTCCGTCTGAAAACTATAACATTACAGAAAAAACTAACAACTAAAAAAGCACTATAGAAATAAAGTAAATAATCATAAACTTACTTATAATGAAGATGTTGCTTCCTCAACCAATCATGCATATAAGGGACGAATGTATCCAATTGATTTTGCCTCTTCCTGTATGTAACCAGTACAGCAACACTGAACAGCGGATTGCATTCTTCAGGGGTATAGCTGCCATTCATAATACCTTTCGGGGAGAAATTATCGTGTTTTCTAGCAACTTCCGAAGGGTGATACGATTTTTGTTCTCCAGTACTTTGTCATAGGTGCAGTCTGGCACGGACTTTTTAGGAGTTACAAACGGAGTGACCCCTGTGAATAGCTTGTCCGACAGATCTACTCGGGCCGTGTGCGGATAATCATATTTGCCGTACGATGCAAACATCTGTACTATGCCTATGAGGCAGAGTATCAACATTACAAAACAGCATATACGTAAGTGAAGAATCCTACTTTCCAGTGAAGCCCTCGCCATTGCTCCGCAGTTATTTTAGCACTTAACAACACAAAGGTCGTTTTTCAGTTATCAATTTAGTAATGCCTGAATATTCGGTATTAAATAATAATACCCAAGTAATGTACTATTTAACTACTTTATTTCCTTCGTATTAAAGGATCGTTTATTAGTTTTACGTGGTTTCATGATAAACTTTTTATATAATTGTTTAAAAAAATTTATTTATAATAATTTCATAAAACAAAATCCTTCGCTATATTTCATATATAGTGTTTTCTTTAAAATAGTGAAATGTATATAGAAATTGACCGACTGAAACTAACTGAATTGACCACAGATAACCTACAATTTTTTGTCTAGACTTTTTTCGGTTATGTTTATTATTTAACGATAAGGCAAAGGCAACTGCGTCCATACAGCCATGTCTGCACGTTTTTGATGTTCATAATTTTCTTAGTTTATTTTATGTTTTGAATTGTTAAAATAATGTATTTGTACAGTGTTCTTGAATCTTAATGGTTTCTGAAGAAAGTGCGAGACACTAACTTCTCCTCACGTCGCCGTCGTATCGAAATACCGCGAAACATCGGAACACACGCCTACCAATATCAGGAAGACCCTTTTTATTTAAACTCATTGTATCGAATAAACAATTACTTCAAAATCAGGGCTGCCATAATAATATTTTTTATTACAGAAAGTGAGAACACTGAAATACGCAACACAACGTCAAGTTCTACAGAAAAGCACATTACCAATAGATAGTATCTATCATATTTACGTTACAAGAATTTCATGATTTTAGATTCCCCATGCCTTTGTCACAGTTGGTCACATTTTTCAGGCAATTTTACAATAAACGAAGTGTAAACTCAGAAACAACAATTAAAAATTATCTTTATATAGATGAAAAAGAATACATTAGCTTTTCGTTTTACACTTGATATAAGCAGACTTTGTAAAGGATATATTTTACATTAGCGATCAAATTCGGACCATTGAAATAGAAATAATCTTTATTCAAATAAACTCATTAAAAACATTTTTCAATAGCCATATTTTGATTCTACCACTCATTCGGAATGCAGATTCATCACAAGAAGAATGAGCAAGAAACTTGTGTGTTGCTCTTTTTAATAGATGTTTTTTATATAAATAATTACAGTATAACATGTAACCCAACTATCGTGTGACGCACCATTAATTAAAAATGGTAAAGTCAATATCATGTAACCTGAAACGGAACGTCAGAGGCCAGAGCCAAAGTAATCTATGTGACATTGACAAGTGGATGACGGATGATTGAACGTAGGCAGCGGGAGTTTTGGAGCGAAAGTGTTGATATTATTATAAAAACAAATAAGAGATAGGTAATTGTGAATATTGTAGGCATTGAGGTGTTTCTCTCCCTGACTAACCGACATTACGCCTAAGTCGTCAGAATACTAGTGATTTTAAAAAACAAATAAGAGGCATGCGATAATGAACATAGAAATCACTACGCACTCATTATTAGTGTAATCAGATAATATTGTCAGTGCTATGGATTTAAAGTTTTTCTATAAAAACATTATTATCGTTAACGAATTCTTCAATTTTGTAGTAAGCTTTTTTGCAAAGGAACTGTTTTATTTGACATTTAAATCTTTTTTCTGGCAGATTAATAACAGACTCTGGTATTTTATTGTAAAACCTTACGCAATTGCCATAAAACGAATTACTAACTTTAGCCAAACGACATTTAGGTAAAATCAGTTTGTTATTGTTACGTAAGCTTTTATTGGTGCAATCACTAACTCTTCTGAAACTGTCTATATTCTTCCTGGCATAGATGATATTTTCATAAATGTAGATCATAGGTACGTCATAAATGTAGTCATTATTGGATCTATACCCATATTGCGAGACGTGATTTGCCTTTGAACAAGCGCTATCAGGCAATGAATAGAGCTCAGATTGAAAGCCTAGAATTGACTGTTCCGCGATCATACTACGACCTACTTGACTTTCGCAAAATAGTATCGAAAAATCGATCGAATTAGTTGCAATTCGATCAAATATATTTACTTTTAAATCAATAATTCATTGAAATTATATGAATAAATACAGATAAGTTTAGTTGTGAATTAATTTTGTATTTATCTGGAGTATCGATACTTCAATAAATCAATTGCATTACAAAGATTATAATTCTGAGTGAATATTCGAGAGAATATAGTTAATAGTCTTTTCCTAAGGATAATATACTTACGCAATATTATCTGTGCTTACGCCAAGGACAGTATTGTTCCGAGTTATTAAGTCTTTTCAAACACCCGTAGAATATAATTTAACGGTCAGCGATCTTTAATCACAAAGTATATAGACCTACTAAATATTCTATTAAAATAATATGATCTAGTTTTCGTACGTACAACGGAAATATCCTAGGCAATGAACAATGTAACCCTTATCGCCTGCCGACCTACAAACACTATTACAAGTAGAGCATAAGGATCTCATAGTTTACAAAAATATTCCATAGCGCAACTACATTGTTGTTCCCTGACGTTCTTATTTTCATTTAAGAGAAGATATTTATTATTATTATTTGGAAGTTATAACTTTTTTTTGTAAACCGATTAAAATGAAATGAACAATACATTTAAAGGAAAAAGATCAAATACGAGACTAGCAAAGAAAAGGCAAAATTTGGCAAATATTGCATCCACATAATGTTATATATAGTGACTAAGAATGAGTGCGTAGCGGTTTCTATGTTGATTATCCCATGCCTCTTACTTGTTATACTGTAAATATTTATATATATAAAACATCTATTCAAAAGAGACATACAAGTTTCTTGCTCATTCTTCTTGTGATGAATCTGCATTCCGAATGAGTGGTAGAATCAAAATATGACTATTCAAAAGTGCTTGTAATGAGTGTATTTGAATAAAGATTATTTATATTTCTATACAAAACAATATAGTTCTTATAAAAAATATAGACCAAAAAAAAGATATATAAAATAGTTTACAACAATACATGTCTTAGGAAGTTTGGTATTATCATATATTATCTGTGGTATTATTATACTAAACTTCCCGTATTCCTTATTACTGTATTCAGCGATGTGGTTTGGACTGATTTAAATAATAAACGGAAATATTCATTACTGTAATCAATTTTAGCGATGTAAATTGTAAACACAAGGAAACCTTGACATGTGTCCTATTTTATAAGTAAATGTTTTAATAGTATTCATGATATTCTGGCATATTAGTTTAGTCGCTTGTGCTTCACACATCACACGTTCATAACATTGGATTTGCATTTCCCGCCATTTTATACTGTCAAAATAAAATGTCAGATCAGTGACAAATATTAACACATCGTATCTGGTTTAATATTATTAAGTCACTAAAGTGTATAATTTTATTATTTACAATTTAAAATGAAATATTTAGTGTAATGTTTGTTAATGTTATTTTAATTTGAAGTGATTTAAAAATGAAAGTGAAGTCCATTTGGAAGGAAGATGAATTAACCTGCAAACCGCTCGATACATACAATGAGATACTGTTATTTTTGGAAAATCCCCCGTCTTGGAGATCTCTCTGTAAAGAATTGCAGCCACATAGTAAAAAATTAATAAAGAATATTGAGTTAAACAAACAAGATGTAGTAAGTCTTGATAGCCCACATATATTTTGTCATTTCGACCCGGATACGGAAGATGTACCACGACATGATGAGAGTATTTTACCGAAGACGTTGGTATGCCATGATATGGCCAACGGATATCACGATGACAGGTAAGGTACTAATATGAATAAAAAATAGACATTGGTAATAACAATGCAAGATTCAAATTTGTATTTAACACGAGTTTGCACCTTTAAGAACTATTGTATATATTATAATAATACTTAGTTATTTTTTTATTCATTCATAGCCCTGGATTATAGCTGTTTGAAATTCTCACTTGAGTATTTCTGTACCAAATTTCTCGGACTGTTACACCACAGATTATTTGATAACGAATCGGGCAATTAGCAATTTATCTACTCTGTTTGTCTAACCATAGACAAATCGATAGCTGGGGATGGTAATACAGTCTACACAAAAAATCGATGATAAATTAATAAACATTTTTATTACAAACATCTTTTCTACGAAAAATCGATTTTATAGAATACTATCTGTGCCTGCAACTTTGTCCGCTTTCACGCCAAAATACTGACGATTTCGCCGTGAAAGCGCGACAGGCAGACAGACAGACAGTTACTATCACATTTATGAGACCTGGACTATCTATGTGATAAAATTCATTTAAATCAATTTAATAGTTTTGGCTTTAAAGGGTGACAGACAGGCAGACAGTAATTTTCGCATTTATATTATTAGTAAGGATTCACTTGCAGTGTTACCGACGGTACGGGCAACCATGATGCGTATACATTCTACAACTGGGCGGGGGTCGACATATTCTGCTATTTCAGCCACCATCTCATCACCATACCGCCTCTCGGCTGGATCAACGTGGGACACCAACACGGGGTCAAAGTTATTGGTACGACACATTTTTTTTTAAATTTATATTGGTACAAACAGTTATAATATATATATATATGCATAGTTTTGACGACCTCGGTGGTCTAGTGATTTAGCACACCGCTTTACGTCCGATGGTCGCGGGTTCGTTTCCTCGCACGGCACAAACATTTGTATTTCATGAGTATGATTGTTTGTGTCGATCTGGGTGTTTTCTATGTATAATATGTATGTATTTACGAAAAGAAAAATATATCTATGTATTTGTATCAGTTGTCTAGTACCCATAACACAAGCTTAAGCTAGCTTAACTTGGGATTAGATGGCGCTGTGTGAATTGTCTTGAGATTATTATTCTTATTATAGTTGATAGACAATGAGTACCGAAAAGTATTTTGTAGTATTATATTAATAAGTAATGTTGACATAATGAGCCTAGAAATTATGATTAAGTTTATATATCTTATAGTAAATTTAGTTATGACTATATAATGTAAAAATAATGTAAATTAAATATTGTAATGGGTGAACACTGTGATTGGTACAGTTTATGCTGTAAATAATATAAATGACGTAGTGGAGTAACTTGAAACAGTCATGCTCGCTATAAAGTTCAAACTTGCGGCGGCGTGGTGGGCCGGGTCGATGTGCTCCCTCTAATATGGTTGAGTGATGGTGCTCATCCGTCATACTCGTGATCGGGTGTTGCTTGTGGGGACTGGTCTGTTTGGGTTGCGAACACAGATTAGACCATTTGCTTTTGTAATAGGACTCTGGTGATCACTCTATTCTCCCAAGTTTGAAAAATGTACCTATAATATTAATTTGAAAAGAATACGAGCTGAGTTTCGTGTCAGTTCTTCTCATATCGAAATCATTCCGAGCTGACGGTAGATTTGACATATCATAAGAGTCTGTAATAGACCTACATGAATAAAGATATTTTGAATTTGAAATTTGAATCTTAGGAGACAAATGGTCACCTAACGCTAAGTTATTACCACCGTCAATAAACCCCCGCAACACTGTGAAGGAATTGCAAGTGCTTTGACGGCCATTTACGAAGAAATAAGCTATTTTCTTGAAGGTTTCAATATCGTATCGGTTCGGAAATACCATTGCTGGAAGGTGATTCCACAATGTAGTTGTGCGTGGCAGAAAGTTTCTAGAAAAATGCACCATTGCTGGAGGGCGATTTTACTATGTGGTTAGGCGCAAGAAGTTTCTAGAAAAACGCATGGTGGGGACCGTCATTCATCCAGAGTTTAGGATAGTAATTTAGTTTCTGGCGGGTAGTACGATGGTGAAAACAGGCCCATCTTTCACGTATTAGAGCTGAGCACAATAGGATAATAGGACCTCTATGACCAGTAGTAATAAAGCACTATTTTGTTAGAATAGACAAAGTCAGTTTTGAACAGGACTCTTTAAAGAAATATATAGGGATGCCCTACCGTCAAAACAAACCAGGCAAAAATAATTTTAAAAAGTCGTTATGTGATTAGGTTCAAGTTCTTGCTAGACATTTATAAAAAAATTAACAAAAACGAGCAGATTGAACAAATTCAATACAAATTCAAAATATCTTTATTCATGTAGGTCTATTACAGACTCTTATGATATGTCAAACCTACCGTCAGTTCGGAATTATTTCGAGATGAGAAGAACTGACAAGAAACTCAGCTCGTATTCATTTCAAATTAATAATTGATACTTATTTCAATTCCAAATTCAAATTTAAAATATCTTTATTCATGTAGGTCTATTACAGACTCTTATGATATGTCAAATCTACCGTCAGTTCGGAATGATTTAGAGATGAGAAGAACTGACAAGAAACTCAGACCATAGTCGGTAAGTGTTTGTTAAGACTGATTTTCAGGTGAGAGTAAAGTAGCTATCGGTTATCATTTGGTAATGGAGTAGGGACTAGACTAGGGGGCCCTGATCCATCGCGGGGCCCTAGGAACATGTCCAGTGTGCCCAGTAGGGAAGAAGGGCCTGGGTAGTCTAGGACTAGGAAGTGATAGTCACCTGTTCCATCTGATCCTCAGGCACCATCATAACAGAGTGGTCCGATGGAGTTGCATTTTGGGACAAGATGCTGGCATCCGAAACTCAGTACCAGGAGCTCGCGAGCGCGCTAGTGGCCATTGCGAAAACTTTGAAATTTGACGGCTGGCTGCTCAACGTGGAAAATAAGGTATACTCTAATATAATATCAATAATAAATTTATTTCATTAACCAATATCTTTTATATAGTATCACATACCAAGAAGGTTATTACAGTAAAATAATTTTTAACAGACGTACGTATAGGAGCTAAGTGAACACTACAACAAATCTAAAGTTTAAATTTCATTATGGGAATGAGTCATCTACGAAATTGCCATATCTCTTCTTTAAACAGAGTCCATGTGTATTGTTAATTTATCATATGTAAATTTATGTACATGCATGTGCAACTGTAAATAAATAAATAAATATTATATTTATATATTTTCTTAAGCCGAGATCCCAGGATCTCCTTGTAAGCATAATTAAATACTTCTGATAGGAGATCACGTTCTTCTAGGATTATTTATTTACTAAGAATTTGTTTCTACTGTAAATTTGTTTGTACTGTGTTTTTTTTTATATAGCATATGCTGGTGGTCACTCTATTCTTCCAAATTTGAATTTAAATAAAATAGTATTATTGTAAATATGTACAACATTAAAAAAAAAACGAGCTGAGTTTTTGTCAGTTCTTCTCATCTCGAATTCATTCCGAACTGACGGTAGATTTGACATATCATAAGAGTTTGTAATAGACCTACATGAATAGAGATATTTTGAATTTGAATTTTTGTGTTGCTTTTTTAAATAATCATAAATTTAATTGATTGTAATGTAAATAAATAGTTCATATTACTAACAGTAATTTCTCTCCACTGATCGCGCGACGTACAGGTCACGAAGCCGGCTGCGTTGCTGGAGTTTGTGCGTTGCCTGCACAAGATGCTGCACCAGGAGCTGCCGGAGCCGGTCCTCATCTGGTACGACAGCGTCACCACCGATGGGCAACTCATCTGGCAGAACGGACTCAACCACAAAAATAAGTAAGACCGATAAAACTTGTACCTAAGGGCTTTTTGGACTGCAGTCCAGAGCCCCGAGGATAGAAAGGGCCCCCAGTCCCCACTGAAACGATATTTAGAGTATAAAAAAATATCTAAAATGTTAAAAAAGGTTGGTTAAGGTTTTTTTTATGGATGATAATGGAATAGAGCGTCTGCCTGCGCTAACAGTTTACGCTGGCGGGGCACCAGTGGAGGATGATAAGATGAACATGAAGTCAGATCCGTTAGCCCAACGTGACAAATTCACCGGGAATTTATCACGATGGTTTCCAGGGGGAACCGCGTGGAGGTAGACCTGACATGGTACATTGCTAGCAATGGGGTCATGAGTCCACATTACTAACAATCCCCTTCCCTCCTGGCGGTTAAGGTTGGCAACCCTGAGGTCAGGGGGGAAAAGGGGATTGTTAGTAATGTGGATTGATGATCTCATTGCTAGCAATGTACCATGTCAGGTTGCCCTCCACGCGGTTCCCCCTGGAAACCATCGTGATAAATTCTTGGTGAATGTGTCACGATGGGCTAACTGACCTGACCTCATGTTCATCTTATCATCCTCCACTGGTGTCCCGCCAGCGTAAACCGTTAGCGCAGGCGGGTGCACCATTCCATTGTCATTGATAAAAAAAAAAAACCCCTGAGGTCAATCAACCCATGCAAGTGCGCGTCTATTGAAAGGAACGGGAAATTTCTGGTCCCTTGTTTTTAGTGGGTATTTTTTTTAGTTGAGTAATATAATTATATAGGTTCCTAAGTAGATTTAACCCACGGCCTCACGAATTAACGATCCACTGCCAAAAAGTCCCGTCAAAATCGGTCCAGCCATTTCAGAGATTAGTCGCAACAGATAGACAAAAATTGTAAAAAAAAATATTTTGGTGTACGTACCGTATTAATATTCATATGCATGTAGTTGTGGCGAATTAATTATAATCGCGCGGCAACACCGTTGCCTAGTTACGACAGAAGAATAAAATAACAGGCCTGTCATTCGAGACCGAATCACTTTCTTGTACATACCTATGTATATATTCATTGTAAATATTTCGTAGTTATAAATATGTACATAACACAATCTGGACTCATCATTTCACCTCCTTCTTTCCCGCTTCTGCTACAAGAACACAACATAAACATAAATAATAGCGGTAACAATATAGACGCTAAATAGTAAAAAACGGTTATTTCAATATTACAAACAGACACTCCAATTTTATTTATATGTATAGATAAATAAAATCATATTAACTTTAAACTCAAAATAGTGCAACCTCATATAACAAATGAATATAAAAACATTGCTTATATGAAGTAAATTGTCACAATAGGTTGCGTTGATCTATCATTGTATTATTAGTCATTCACCACAACATTACATACTCATGTTTTTATAGCAAACAACTTCTATTCATAAAGGAAAACACATTTTTATTGTATTACTGTAGGTACGTGTTAAAAAATATGGTATAAAAACAAATATGATCGAGCGCAGTTGTCAGTACTGGCACGGTACACTCGATGGAAAGTTATGTGTCAACGATATTGCTTTGTTTCCTGTCTTCTATTATTCCTATCAGATTGCTTTTGTAGACATATATCAAATAAAAATTATATTCAACTTAGATGCTGTTTTACCCAAAAACCCTCACAAATTGGTAGCAGAGCGTGGTTAATAATAAAATGGCATCTGCGTCGAGTTTCCGCAATATAGAACCTTTAAACAAAGAAAATTACGATACTTGGAGCCTACAAGCGCAGGCCGTATTGATCAAAAATGATTACTGGGATATCGTAAGTGGCGCAAAAGCATTGTCACCCAGTGCTGATGCAGCAGCAACGACGGAATTTAATAGAGAGGACTTAAAGGCAAGAGCTGAAATTCTACTTTTATTATCACCGTCGGAATTAAAACAAATCAAAGCCTGCATGACATCCAAAGCTGTTTGGGGCAAATTAAAATCAATATATCAGAGCGCCGGACCAGCAAGAAAAGCGACCTTGCTGAAACAACTGGTTCTAAAGCGTATGAATGTTGGAGAAGATATTCGCGATCACATAAATAACTTCATGGACATCGTGGATAAACTCGCTGACATGGAGATCAAAATACCTCCAGAGTTACTCAGCATTATGTTACTGTATAGTTTACCAGCAACATTTGATAACTTCAGAATAGCCATAGAGTCACGGGATTCATTACCAAACCCCGAAGACCTGAAGGTAAAAATATTGGAAGAATATCAGGCCAGGAGCGGTAATGAACAAGGCCAAAGCTCTGAAGCATATCATCTTAAAAATAAGAAACAAAAATACTGCAAGAATTGCAAGAAAAAGGGCCACACCACCGAAGCATGTTGGGGAAAGAAGAAAGGTGGCAAAGAGAGAGACAACGGCAAACAACACAAAAATTTCAATGTTTGCCTTAACACCGTAGAACAAGACACTAGTGAAAATACATGGTGCCTGGACAGCGGCTGTTCATCTCATATTTGCAACAATAAATCATTTTTTTCTAAGTTGACCCCAGGCAGCGGCACATTAAGATTAGCGTCAAGTAAGCACAGCAGTGGAATTCAAGGTAAAGGAATAGTAACCGTAAATTCAAATAATCAAGGTTACAATTTGAATAATACATTGTATGTTCCGGATGTATCAATAAATCTATTGTCAGTAAGTAAGATAACTGACAGAGGAAATAAAGTCGTTTTTGAAAAAGACAAAGCCTACGTCATTGAGAAAAGCGGCGAGGTGGCAATTACAGCGCAAAGAAGAAATGAGCTGTATTACATCGAATTTGACAAGAACGAGACTGCGCATTACACACCAAAAATAAGCACAGACGTCATGGAATAGCATCGCAAACTCGGCCATATAAACGAAAAAGATTTAAATATAATGGCTAAAAATCACCTAATGTATGGTTTAAATTTATCTGACCAAAAGTTAGAAACATGTGAGACCTGCATAAAAGGAAAATTGACGAGACAACCATTCAATCGATATGACGAATTATATACAACGGATCCATTAGAAATAATTCATAGCGATGTTTGTGGACCATTCGAACACGAAACATTGACAGGTTCGAAATATTATGTCACTTTTATAAACGACAATACTCGATACTGTCATGTCTATTTTATAAAAAGGAAAAGTGACGTATTACAAATTTTCAAACAATATAAAAGTGAAGTTGAAACATTTCATAATAAAAGGATAAAATATTTACAGTCAGACAACGGTACTGAATATCGTAACAAAGAGTTTGACGATTTCCTTAAATCGCATGGTATCCAAAGGAGGCTAACAACTGTTTATACTCCACAACAAAATGGAATTAGCGAGAGAAAAAATAGATCGTTATTGGACAAAGCCAGGTGCCTAATGATTGAATCAAAAGTACCTATGAAACTTTGGGCAGAGGCCATATCTACTGCAAATTACCTGATTAATCGTAGCCCCTCTAAATCATTAAAAGGTGATATACCATTTAGGAAATGGTTAGGTAAGACACCTTCTGGCACTCATCTCAACATCTTTGGCAGGATGACCTTCGTCTTAAAAAAGAATAGACGAGGAAAATTGACTCAAAATACCAAAGAGGGTGTGTTTGTAGGGTACTCCTTGACCAGCAAAGCCTATAGAGTATATATACCTAAAGATAATGATGTGGTAACTAGCAGAGATGTAAAAATAATAAATAAAATGTATTATGAAGAAAATGTTGAAAATTATAATAAACTTTTGAACGATGACAAACAAATTTCACAAACTCCTAGAACAGAATGTCAAATAAGAGACAACATGTATAAGAAAAATAATAATTTAAATACACAACAAATAGAAATTGAATTTACAGAGAATAAAAATTATTTACAAAGTTCAAATAATCCGGATCACACCGATTTAACAGAAAATGTAGATTGTCACGATGAAACAACAGGAACTGTAGAAAGACCTGTGAATGGGAGGCCACAAAGAGACCGCCGGCCACCGGAGTGGACCAAGGATTACACATTAAATGAAACGAATGAAAGTATACTATTCTCTGAATTTTCTTATTTGACTGATGGAAGTGAAACTGATGAATACTGGCCTGATGCGATAAAAGCTGAAATTAGAGCACATGTTAAGAATGAAACCTGGAAAATAGAGGAAAAGAAAGAGAACATGAATGAAGTAGATTACAAAATGGTTTTAAGAAATAAAATTGGGCCAGATAATAAAATTAGTAGAAAAGCCAGACTTGTAGCACGGGGCTTCACTGAATGACCAGGCGTTGATTACAATGAAACGTATGCACCCGTCGCAAAATTAAGTTCAATCAGATCGCTATGGAATAGCTATGGAACAAGGTCTAAAGTTAAACCAAATGGACGTAACCACAGCCTACCTAAATGGTGAACTAGAAGAATATATTATAATGAAATATCCTGACTATTTAGAAGAGTACTTAACAGAAATACTGGTTGATGAGAGTGAAAAAGATGATCTGACTTTATACAATAAAACAATGAATATGTTAATGGACATAAAAAACATACCAAAAGGGAAAGTTTGTCGTCTTATTAAAGCTCTATATGGACTTAAGCAAGTGGGGAGGCAATGGCATAAAAAACTCGACATGGAATTGAAAAATGTAGGGTTTAAATCATCAAATGCCGATCCCTGTCTATACATACAGGAGAAAAGAGGAGAAAAAATAATCATTGCTATTTATGTCGATGATTTATTAATCGCTTACTCAAGTCCCGTTATTCTAAAAGAAGTTAAAGACCTTTTAAATTTAAAATTAGAACTTAAAGATTTAGGTCAACCGAAACGACTGATTGGTATAGATATAACTTATGAAAATAATACAATAAAATTAAACCAAGAAAGATTCATTGAGGATGTTCTCAGAACATACAAAATGGAAGATTGTAAGCCTGTATCGACACCCATAGAGCCAGGCTTTATACTACAAAAGGCAGAAGAATATGAAAAGAAAAATATCCCATATAAAAATTTAATAGGTTCCCTTATGTACTTGGCAGTAGCTACTCGTCCCGATATCATGTTTGCCATTAGCTACTTATCCCAGTTTAATGATTGTTATGGAGAGGAGCATTTCAAGAGCGCAAAAAGAGTAATGCGTTATTTGAAAAAGACACAAAAAGTCGGCCTAACTTTTAGAAAAACTGGAGAAGATTTATATGGTATGGCGGACGCAGATTGGGGCGCATGTAAGATTGATAGAAAATCTTTTTCAGGTTACTGTTTTAAGTATGCTGGGACAGCCATAAGCTGGATGTCTAAGAAGCAGAGGAGTGTCGCTTTGTCTACAGCAGAGGCGGAATATACAGCCCTGACTGAAGCTGCGAAGGAAGCTATTCAACTAAAGGGTACATATAAAGATCTCGGTACAAACTATAATAACATAACAATTTTTAACGACAATCAAGCCGCCCTCAAACTTAGCCAAAATGCTATGGTGACTTCAAAGTCAAAGCACATTGATTTAAAGCTACATTTTATCAGAGACTTTATAGAAGACGGTACAATTGTAGTCAAATATCTACCTACTGATGAAATGGAAGCAGATATGTTAACAAAGGCTTTAGCTGGACCGTGACTGGACATTGAGAAGAAGTTTGGGGTTAACTTAACCACGACATACACCGTGAAGAGGAGTGTCAGTACTGGCACGGTACACTCGATGGAAAGTTATGTGTCAACGATATTGCTTTGTTTCCTGTCTTCTATTATTCCTATCAGATTGCTTTTGTAGACATATATCAAATAAAAATTATATTCAACTTAGATGCTGTTTTACCCAAAAACCCTCACAGCAGTGATGGCTGGCTCATTTTTTTTTGCCTAAATTCCGTTGGACATTAGAGTAGTCGACAGATAGATTATACAAGTATACTATTGATCTGCCCCTCCAATCGACCCCCCGTCCAATTCAAACGGGGATCGAAATTACGATGGCCTGAGCCGAGGTTCGAACCCCTAGCGGTGCCCTCAGACTAAAGTCGTATCCGTCAGGCGGGAGTTGGGATTCAGCCGCTCCATAAATGCTTCCGAGGGTTTTGTAGTGCCATCTGCACTCGCTCCCTATCGTCCGGTGAAGCTGTAAAGGCCAGCTGCGGCCAACAGCATTAGAGTAGTCTGAAAAAAAATGTATAGAGTTTTCAGTTTGATTTTTGTTTTATATATATATATATATATATCCAAATAGAAAGTTTCTTGTTAGTTCTTCTCATCTCGAAATCATTCCGAAATGACGGTAGATCAAATCTACTATCATAAGAGTCTGTAATAGACCTACATGAATTATCATAGGTGTTGTAATTTTGCAGAGATTTCTTCGACGCTTGCGATGGTTTATTCACGAATTATTCATGGGAGGAGTCCGACGTGAGGTCGAGTGTGGTAGCGGCTGGTGATCGCGTTACAGACCTCTACATTGGCATAGACGTGTGGGGCAGGAACTTCTACGGGGGCGGACAGTTCAATGTACAGCAGGTACACACAAATCCAACGGTTTTTCTTCATCCAGTTAATACGGACAGTATAGTGTTCACTTATTTGTTATTTAAGTCTTGTATCTCCTAGTAGAGCCCTCACAGGACACTGCAAGTTGAACAAACATGTGGCTTACCTAAGCCTATGCACGACAAAAATCTGCAGATTCTGCCAAACTGAAGAGGAAACGCCACTACACATCCTATGTGGTTGTAGCCCACTCATGCATAAACGAAATATCTCCCTTGGAAAGTTTGCACTCTTTCCCGAGGAGATAAAAACCATCGCTCATAAGAATATCCTTCAATTCTTGTCCCCTATTTTTTTTTATATTTTTATATTGCCTGAAAAGTGGTTTACAGGATTTTAAAAATTTTAATTTTTAACTCACACTTTCACTCACACCAGAATCTGGTATGCAAAATTAACAGTGTCCATTTGCTATCTATATAAGAGAGAGATATATTTTTTGTTCTTCAGTATTAAATTTCTAGGTTAAATCATCAATTCCTTCATGAATTAAAATAATCATCGACAGAATAAAAATATTTATTGATTAGACATCTTTTTAACTCTGTTTTGAACAAATTTATCGGTAGTCTTTTTATTTCATCATCAGGACCGTCTTTCACCTGTTAGAGGCCCTGGGTAATAAAGCAAACAAAGTAATAAGGCACTGTTTTGTTCGAATAATAACAATTTTTTATTTCACTTTCTTCAGATCTGACTTCATCTCTAAAGAGAGATGCACCTTGCCAAAACAAAATTTTAAATGACTTTCAGGCGAGAGTAGAGTAGCTATCGGTTATCGTTTGGTAATGGAATAGGGACTAGACTAGACTAGGGGGCCCCAATTCATCGCGGGCCCTAGGCACGTGCCCGTGTGCCTAGTGGGGAAGAAGGCCCTGTTCATCATGCAACTTATATTCTATTCCTGCAATTTTAGGCCATAGAAGTGGCGTATACCTATGGATGCTCATTGGCTATTTTCGCTCCGGCCTGGACCTATGAGGCGATGAGTCAAGACCCGAAAGATATCAATTCTGTCGCATTATCTGATGAGTTGGAGGTCTACGATCAGTTCCTGTTGAGGGATCGCGCCCTGTGGGGCAGCATTTGGCCGTTCCTAAATACAAGATTGCCTTGCACGTTGCCATTCCAGACTTCCTTCTGTAGAGGTCAAGGAAAAAAAAGAAGATTGTACGGAGAGGTATGTAACGCAAGTTAACAGTATATGTAATTGACATTTCTTGAATAGTAATAACCCTGGACAATTCATACAGCATGATCTAGACCAGAGGTTCCCGAACTCTTCGAGTTTCGTACACCCTTTGCCACATTTTTCGGTTTTGGGTACACCCCCAATCCTTACCAGGTATTGATTTTTTGGTAATTTCTAACTGTAGTAAAGTTTAGTGTTAAAAACAACAAAATGACCACTGTCGTAGACCCCTTGCAGTTTGTCATAGACCCCTGTGGGTCGATATAGACCACTTTGGGAATCAATGGTCTAAGCTAAGCAGAGCTAAAAATATTATTAAAGTAAACAACACGTAGACATTAATAAAATTGTAATACAAGAAGTAGAGTGACGATTGACTTCAAAATATTATGAACCTACCATTGAGGTTACATGTTACAACACTACCATTTGAACAAACACACATAGAAGTATAGTCTATGACCATAGATCCTTAAATGTTGAAACTTATAATTTAAATTAATTATGATCCAATCCAATCCACCAGCAAGGTGGACCGACGATCTGGTCAAGATCGCTGGAAGGCATTGGATGCGAGCAGCGCAGGACCGATCGTCGTGGAGATCTTTGGGGGAGGCCTATGTCCAGCAGTGGACGTCTTCCGGGCTGCGATGATGATGATGATACAATTTCGACCATTGGGCGATGACTTTTTTTTTTTAAATGATAATGTAATGGTTCACCCTCCTGCGCTAACGGTTTACGCTGGCGGGGCACCAGTGCAGAATGATAAGATAAACATGAAGTCAGATCAGTTAGCCCAACGTGACAAATTCACCGCGAATGTATCACGATGGTTCCCAGGTGAAACCGCGTGGAGGTCGATCTGACATGGTACATTGCTAGCAATGGCATCATTAGTCCACATTACTAACAATCCCCGTCCCCCCGGGCGATGACATTAGTAGGCAAGATTACAAATTTCACTATCACACCTCGCTTCAAACATCTTACATTGTATTTCAATGATACTTTATTCGTCACAGGTGATATGCCCTGTACCATGGTATAATTTACGACACATGCAGTACCAGCCCAACTCAAATCACGGCCCTCACGGCTACCTCCTCCTGTCCTCACCTGACGACGTCCACACCATCTCACAGAAATTTATAGTTAGAGATGCAACAGGCATAATAAAGTACCAAGAATCATTCCTGAACAGTCGTCAACAGTTGCATTCTTTCAAAACTAGTAGCGAAACAAATAATTTTGACGAATTTATTGCTATTGAGCAATCTTATGAGGAAACTGTTCCAGAAAGGTTTAAACGTGACTTGAAACATCTCGAATCGGATACGAAAGCTGAAGATAATGTGCTAGAGGATACCGCTAGAAAAAGAGACAAAGCAGTTGACAATCTGTCAGCAGATCTCGCGGTGAGAGGCGAAATAGATGACAATTTGGTATCAGATCCCGTGACGAGAATCGAAGCAGATAACAATCTGATATCAAAACCCATGGCGCGACGAGAAAAAGATGGCAATCTGGCTTTAGATCCCGGAATGACACCCGAAAGAAATGATAGTTTGGCATCAGATACCCTGGTGATACGCGAAGGAGATTATAAACGGCGTGAACTAGATGATAAAATCTTATCAGGTACGAGTCTGTCGAGATACACGGGACTGTCGAAGCCATATACGTTAGCATATGTTCCTGATGAGCTGGAGTGTCTCGAAGTGTGCTTAGAAGATAGTTTTATTGGAGGGTCATGCCTGAAAGTGAATCCTTCAGACAAATTGTCGCCCGAGCACAGAACGACGAGAATATTCCATTGCGATTTCTATTGTCAGGACACGTTAATCATTTGCGTGGTTACGAAGACCTTGATCGAGAATGAAGATCAGTTCTTGAATATAAAGCTGCATGCGAAGAACTCGACGGGTGAGGACCTGAAGGTGGTGTTAGTAGGTAGGGACTCGCCAGGCCAGAGCTCTACCAGCCAGACCACCTCGGGTATCTGCAACGTGTACCCGCTGAACGTAACCAGCAGCCAGTTCCAGGACCTGCAGAAGTACCTACTGCTGAAGGAGTCCGGATTCTATATTTCGGTGGAGAATTCTTATGGATGGAAAATAAGGTCTGTATTTTTTTCTATTTATTGACATTGTAATCGACCTGATCGAAGTTGACCCTCGTCGTTTCTATACATGGACGTCCATGGATGCTACGTGTTGCCATTCCTGAAGACTACATTCCTCTCTCTGTAACCTATAATTTGACTATGAATACTGCTTTACTGTTATGGGTAGCAGATTCGAGACCTGTATTAAATAAACAGCAAGGATACAGAAACTCACTATATTGAGATATAATTGTATTCTATTAGAATATTAATAGCGAAAGTTTGTAAGTATGGATGTTTGTTACTCTTTCACGCAAAAATTACTGAACGGATTTTGATTAAACTTTACAGTAACATAGCTTATGCATCAGAAGAACATCTAGGAAACCGCGGGCAGAGCTACATATATGTATAATTTTGCGGTTCCTTTAATGAATGTGTTTTTATTAATGACTAGCTATTCCCGCGACTTTGCTCGCGTGGAATTTAACTTTATTATTCTAAAATTTTATTTATTTTTTTCTAAAACAAAAGTAGCCTTAGTTACTACTTATTACATCAGCTACCTGTTAAAAAAAGTCCCGTCATAATCGGTCCAGCCATTTCAGAGATTAACCGAAATAAACAGACCAATAGACAAACAGACAAAAATTGTAAAAAAAATATTTTGGTGTATGTACCGTATTTATATTCATATGCATGTTGTAAAAACGGTTCTTTCAATATTACAAACAGACACTCCAATTTTATTTATATGTATTCATATACGCTGGCGGGGTACCAGTGGGTATTAAAATGTGAATGAAATCAGGTCTGTCATTGTGGTGAATTCATCAGGAATTATCCAAGTTTCAATGGAAATTTGCGTGGAACTCGAGCCGGTATGCCATTCCTCGACTTTCCACTAATGTATGCTCCCACCTGACAGGTACTACGAGGTCCCTGCTGCAGGGATGCAGGTAACGTCTGTGAACTGCCGCACCGGCATGTCCGAGGGGGGCATCCTGCTCGGGTACCTTGGCCTCTGCCACCGGTCATAGGTGAGCGTTCCGGTCAGGTCTTCATGTCTTCACCATGGTGGTTTCCAGGCGAGACGTGGAGAAACTGTTAGGGTACTTGGTTGATTGTTGGTAATAGGGTCTATTACTAACAATTTTTCGCCTCCGGCAAATGCTACAGTCGCAAAATCATTTGAAAATATCATGTCATAATCTTATTTTAGTCTTAATAATATTACTAGCTTTTTCCCGCAGCTTCGCTCGCGTTAATTTATCCCCTTAGGGGTGGAATTTATCAAAATCTTTTATTAGGGGATGCCTACGTCATAGTAGTTTTGTGCATGCAAAGTCTCACCCCGATCGGTTCAAAATTGACAAAGTTTCATACAAACTTTCATCCCCTATTTTATCCCCTTGGGGGTAGAATTAATTAAAATCCTTTCTTAGCGGATGCCTACGACATAACATCTACCTGCATGTCAAATTTCAGCCCGATCCGTCCAGTGGTTTGGGCTGTGCGTTGATAGATCACTATGTCAGTCAGTCAGTCACCTTTGAGTTATATATATTTATAGTAGATAGATAAACACGAAAGTTTGTGAGTATGGATGTTTGTTACTCTTCCACGCAAAAACTACTGAACGGATTTTGATGTAACTTTACAGTAATATAGCTTATACATCAGAATAACACATAGGCTATAATTTAAAGAGATATTATGTAAATATAGCGAAATATAATGATAAATGTCAAGTAAGTGTGAAGCAGACGAAGCTGCGGGAGTCAACTAGTAATGGTATTAAAACATATGCATTTATAAATAAAATATTACTGTATTATTAATGTAAATTATATTTATAAATTACTATAAAGTGTATACATGTGTTGATACATTAAAAAATATCTTTATTCATGTAGGTCTATTACAGACTCTTATGATATATCAAATATACCGTCAGTTCGGAATGATTTCGAGATGAGAAGAACTGACAAGAAACTCAGCTCGTATTCTTTTCAAAAATAAATCTGCCTGAAAAAAGATTTAAATGTCATATAAAACACTTCCTTTGCAAAAAAGCTTACTATAAAATTGAAGAATTCGTTAACGACAATAATGTTTTTATAGAAAAACTTTAAATCCATAGCACTGACAATATTATCTGATTACACTAATAATGAGTGCGTAGCGATTTCTATGTTGATTATCGCATGCCGCTTACTTGTTATACTGTAATTATTATATAAAAAACATCTATTAAAAAGAGCAACACACAAGTATCTTGCTCGTTCTTCTTGTGATGAATCTGCATTCCGAATGAGTGGTTGAATCAAAATATGACTATTCAAAAATGCTTGTAATGAGTTTATTTGAATAAAGATTATTTCTATTTTTAATAAATGTTACAATATGCAATTACAATATATATATATATATATATATATATATATATATATATATAAATATCCCCTTGGGCACTTTGTGGCTCAGACGTGCCGTATAGGTAGTTTTTTGTTGATCCTTTTTCACTTGTTGATCCGGAGGCCTTTTGTTGATCTAATGCCAGATGACCATATATAAATGTTGATCCGTTTTGAGCCACAACTGTCACGACGAGTAATAATAATAATTACGCGATTTATACATGATTTTATACAAATCCACCTTTTTGGCATACGAGCAGTTCTTGATCCAATTCAAACGGGCCAATCAGGGTGCAGCATTTGCCAAGGGCTTCCTCATTGGCACGTTTGGGCTACTACATTATGGCTACAGTAACTTAATAATGTCTAGCTAGTATTTCAAGAATAATAGTCTATCTAATCTAAATATTCATAGAAATCAGTCTGGAGTAACGTGACTCCAGATCAAACCTCAATACTTATTATTTTTTTGGACGGGAATCTTTTCTTTTGTAACAACGTTACTGAGCGAATAAAGAGAAGACGCAACGGCGGATCCAGGGGGAGCGTCATGGAGGTCATGGGAGTCATGGGGGCGTCATGACGCTCCCCCCTTAGCCCAGGACTTAGGTAGACCACTAATTGAACTAAAAAATAATGAAACAGCAAATTTTTTTGCACGATCGGAGTGTTGGTGCAGTAGTATTAATTATAATTAAACATTGTTACTTAAAACATATCAGTTAAAGTACTATAACACTAAAAGCAAAATAGGTATTTTCAAAATACTTTTTCAAAATAAATTACCCTTTGAGTTTTTGTCCAAACCTCAGATATTTTATTTATTTTAGGTATATCAATCATTACATAGTATAGTATAGTATAGTATAAAAAAAAGTCGCTGTCGCATCTAACAAGTACATAAATAAAGAAAGAAGACTTTTTGGCTCTGAATATATTTCAAAAATCAATTACTTGTGTTAATCAATTTACATACTCGTTCTTATTTCATAGTATAGTGTTTTGATCCGAATATATACAGATACCGTAACGGTCTATTAATTATGAATTTATTATACCTAACCTAGATATTTTATTTTGACGAAACTCCGTGTAGTAGTAGTATCCGATAAAGGTATGCGAACCCTAAGTATTATTTCAAAATGACCAGTAATTTCGAAGAAATAAGCCTTTGAATTTTGAATTTTGATTTTAATAAGCCTTTGAATCAACTTACCAAACGGACGCTCAAGGTTCGATTCCCGCCACCGATTTTTTTTGTTATTTTTTTTTGTCTTTATTCTAATTTTAAATTAACTATTTTAATAATTAAATGAATTTAATCGAACAAAACGTTGTTAAGTATTCAATTAATTTTAATTTACATTACCTATTGTACTTTCTAAATTGTAAAGCAGCTAACAATTATAGTAAGATCTTATAAATAACTAACACAACAAGTAAAACATTTTAAATGTATTTTCTTTATTATTACAAATATTTTTTATGCATAATATAATAGTTAATATCACTTAAAATTAATTTAATACTTAACAACGATTTTATCGATTAAATTCATTTAAATATAACCCATAAATGTATAAATATTATATATAAATAAATACATAATGATCTGATAATCATATTATAAGTACAGTCTCAAATTGAAAGTAAGAAAAACAGAAAATATAGAGAGAACTATAGGGATATAACAGAAAGATGTGAAAATTGGAGAAGGACAGTAAAAAAGTTACAAATTTAAATAATGTTCCCGCAATTTCTGTTTAAATGAATTTATTACATTATTATATATATTAGGCATACGACTAGCCTTATGACTGTTACTTTTTTTTTAATCTATACATCTATACATGTAAATAAAATTGGAGTGTCTGTTTGTAATATTGAAATAACCGTTTTTACTACTTGCATATGAATATAAATACGGTATACACCAAAATAACACATTTTACAAGTTTTGTCTGTCTGTCTGTCTGTTTGTTCCGGCTAATCTCTGAAATAGCTGGACCGATTTTGACGGGACTTTTTTTGGCAAGTAGCTGATGTAATAAGGAGTAACTTACGCTACTGTTATTTTAGAAAAATAAAATAAAATTTCACGCGGACGAAGTCGCTGGGGCCAGCTAGTCTATAGATATACCGAGATTTAATATTTACGTTGCTATTATGTTGTTGACAAAATTTTACTGTAATGTTACTATTACGTTATCCTACACAATTTGTATTATTTTGGATGAATAAATAAATAAATAAATAATAATCTATACATCTATACGTATAAATAAAATTGGAGTGTCTGTTTGTAATATTGAAATAACCGTTTTTTACTACATGCATATGAATATATATAAGGTACATATACCAAAATAACTATTTTTATAATTTTAGTCTGTCTGTCTGTCTGTCTGTTTGTTCCAGCTAATCTCTGAAATGGCTGGACCGATTTTGACGGGATTTTTTTTGGCAGGTAGCTGATGTAATAAGGAGTAACTTAGGCTACTTTTATTTTAGAAAATAAAGTTAAAAACCACGTGGACGAAGTCGCGGGTACAGCTAGTGTATAATATATTAGAGATACCTACGTGTTTTTTTATTGATGACTAGCTGTACACGGGATTTCGTCCGTGTGGAATTTCACTTTATTTTTCTAAAATATAAGAAGTTAAATTCCACGCGGACGAAGTCGCGTGTACAGCTAGTTATCGGTAGTCTAGCGATTTAGCTAGCACACCGCTTTGATTCCTGCTTGGTGGTCGAGGGTTCGATGCACGCTGCAAACATTTGTATTCATGAGTATGATTGTTTGTAACGGTCTGGGTGTTTTCTATGTATAGATAATATATATGTATTTACCACAAAAAATCTTTGTATTTATATCAGTTGTCTAGTACCCATAACATAATCTTCAGCTAGCTTAACTTGGGTCTAGACGAAGCTGTGTGAATTGTCTTGAGATTACTATTATTACTATAATAAATCTTTTCAAATCAGCCGATGTTTATTTTTGCCATAATACGTGCTGTTACCATGTGATAATATTACGTACGTACTTATTAAACTATTAACTTATTATTAAATTATTAACTATTTATACTGTTTTAAATGTGATGCGTTCATTATTTATATTTCCTTTGAATTAAAGACAAATGTATATATATATATATACATTTATATAAACTTGCACACTTAGTTGATCCAGCCACGATCCGTAGATATTGCTGATTCCACTGTCTCTCTCTTTCTATCACTATAACGGTAGCGTGGTGGAACGGCACATGTTGCCGTTCCGCGTTCTACCACTATCTTTGTATTCTAATATGCGATGTTGCCGTTCCGGCCGAGACCATGCGTTGTTGCCAAATGTATTCGTCGATAGTAGTAGATACTCGATATATATTTTTTCAACAATTTCCTGCAATAGTGAATCCGTATCGGCAAAATTTTTTAAATGCACAAAGATTTTTTGGCTCTGAATATATTTAAAAATCATTTACTTGTGTGTTGATGAATTTATATACTAGTACATGAAGTACCTAATACTTGTTTTGATTTGAATAGGTAGCGATATTATGAATTTATTATACGTAATCTAAAGATTTTGACGAAATAAAAGTAATTAG